CGAAACAGAATGACTTCAAGAGTGTATCAGTCTGTAGTGGAAGGAAGGGGGGTAGGGGTGGGCCTAGGAAAGGTTGGAGAGAGGGGGAAAAAGGAGGTTTTGTGTGCGAGGGGCTTGGACTTCCAGCAGGTATGCATGAGCGTGTTTGATAGGAGTGAATGGAGACAAATGGTTTTTAAATACTTGACGTGCTGTTGGAGTGTGAGCAAAGTAACATTTATGAAGGGGTTCAGGGAAACCGGCGGGGCCGGACTTAGCCCTGGAGATGGGAAGTACAGGGGCCTGCACTCTGAAGGAGGGGTGTTAATGTTGCAGTTTAAAAACTGTAGTTAAGCACCCTTCTGGCAAGACAGTGATGGAGTGAATGGATGGTGAAAGTTTTTCTTTTTCGGGCCACCCTGCTTGGTGGGAATCGGCCAGTGTGATAATAATAATATATATGTATTTTTATATCTATAATATATATATATAATATATATATATATATATATGTATTTATATATATATATTTTATATATATATATTATATATAAAATATATATTATATATATATATAATATATATAAAATTTTATATATATATATATAATATATATATATATATATATAATATTATATAAAATTACACACACACACACACACACACACACACACACACACACACACACACATACACACAGTGGACCCTCGACCAACGATGGCATCGTATAACGTTAAATCTGACTACCGATACATTTTGAAGCAAAATTTTTGCCTCGACTAGCACTAAAAATCTCGACCGACGCGATTTGTTCCGTTCAAGACGCATCCACGTGTGGCCTGCGCAGTGTTTACAATCCAACCACCGTTGTCGCATCCAAATATGCAATTGGAACATTTCGTATTATCACAGCGTTTTTAGTGATTGCACCTGAAAAATAAGTCACCATGGGCCCCAAGAAAGCTTCTAGTGCCATCCCTGTGATAAAAAGGGTGAGAATTAGAATGGAAATTATGAAAGATTTTGAAGGGTTTGGGGTTAACCCTGAGATGCCTATGCCAGTTGTGGAATTCATTGTGCCTACTTCAAAGATTTAGGAAATGTGTGCAAAGTGGGTTGAACTTAAAAACCTTAAAAAAAAAAAAAAAGGATGAAAATCAAACCCCAACACAGCTATTGCAAGCCATGCTGGTGTCTATTACAATGACAATGTTGTGGCCCATTTTAGACAAATCGTAAAGGAACGGGACGTACAGAACTCTATGGACAGATATGTTGTGCAACAGAGGTCCAGTGACTCCCAAGCTGGTCCTAGTGGCATTAAAAGAAGGGAAGTAACCCCGAAAAAGGACTTGACACCTCAAGTCCTAATGGAAGGGGATTCTCCTTCTAAACACTAACACCATCCACACACTCCCCTCCTCCCATCCCATCAATCATCACCAGATCTTCAATAAAGGTAAGTGTCATGTAACTGTACATGTCTTCTTCAGTTTGTGTGTTTTAAATTTAATATTTCATGTGGTAAAAATTTTTTTTTTTTCAATACTTTGGCGTGTCAGGAACGGATTAATTTCATTTTCATTATTTCTTATGGGGAAAATTAACTCGACTAACGATAATTTCGACTAACAATGAGCTCTCAGGAATGGATTAATATCGTTGGTCGAGGGTCCACTGTATATATAAATCTTTCTGTCTGGATGGCCTGCCAAACACGTATTACATGTTGCAGAATCGTTTCTCTCTACTTACAGCATAAATGGTATGATATTCTGGCAGAATGACACTTCCATTTACAACACAGGTTATTTTCTATGTTGTTTTATTCAGTGGTACCTCGAGTTACAAACTTAATTCGTTCCAGAAGGCTGTTCGAGTGCTGATACCGAACGAATTTGTTCCCAAAATGAATAATGAAAATTAGGTTAGCGTTACAAAAAATGTGATTTTTAATATGCATAGAGATCTCCAGTGAATACTAGAAAGGACTTCCCTTCTAGCATCCAGCCTGTTACTGGGTTTTTGTAATAAGTAGTCAGTATCCTGGTCCAATTATCCATTAGAATTCAGTAAGATTCAATAGTGTTTCAGGATTACAACTGGTAGGCTACTAACTAAAGAAATTAAAATTTAATAAGTTTATTTATATCAAAATTGTCTAGGCGTATATTATCAAAGTAAATTATAGTAATCAATTGAATATAATAATCATAATAATCACTTCTCTTATGTACAGTAGTATTGTGCTGAAGGCACATGTCACATCTTAATGGCTTTTAAGTACCGTCTGGTACATTGTTAGCAATTAATAACATAATACAAATATATACAAGTAAGTTTGTGTGTATGTGTGTAAGTGCTCTAAGTAGTTCGCTATGTCTCAAGACTCGGCTAGGCTTAACCAGTGAATGACTAAAAGTCCTGACATAAACTAACTTCTAGACCAACCTGGCAATCAGAACAGCTTGCTTGAACAATAAAACGACTGACAAGCCGAACAGCAATATAACAAGCAACTGCGACACAGAATCAGGAACAAGGAGATAATATAATGACACTAAGTAGGGACCATCTGCAGATCCTCCACAAAAGTCATAAAACTCCGATACTACTGAATCTAAGTTCAGCATAAGAAATATCCCCGACTGTGACAGTGCACAGATACCAGTACAAATTAGGTCAGAAGTGTGTCTATGCGACACACAACCTCAGTACAACGTCGAAAATCACTAAGTCTAGGCAATGTTCTGTGAACAGAGTTCCACAGAACCAACAACAAGAAAGCAACAGAGACGATCCTCCAACAACGGAGAGGAGTGTGGGACATCTTGTTAGGAGAACGTCCAACCGACAAGAGACTCAGAAGCCCATCAGACTACTCCAGGCGAGGTGTGATCACCCCCCCTCATCACATGATTGCTCCGTGGACTGCTGCTGCCCAGCAACACAGAGAAGCTGGCAGAGTAACAAGCGGGGCGATAATTACAGTAGTTAGTCAACACTTGAACTATGAGCACTGAATAATATATAAATGTTACATCCTACCTAATAAATATAACTAAGTCAAATAATAATGTAAAGCAATATATTTACGATTTAGCTATTATCGCAAAAATAAGCAATATAAAATTATAAGAACAGGTAATATACATTATATACATTGTGACCCATTCAGGGGTTGCAATAGTTAGTCCATTTCAGACCCCCAAAAATACACTTACAAAAGCTCTTACAAAGATACACTTACATAATTTTTTGAGTTGGGAGCTGTTGGAAACTTGAGGTGCCACTGTATTTCTTTGGCTACTTCTGGCCACATCCATCTCAAAGCCACTAAACTCGGGGTCAGCATCACTTTCCTCCTAAAAGGAGTGTTAATGTGATAGTGAATCTCTGAGGCTTGCCATGCTGTTTGCTGTAGCTGGTGCTCCCACAACAGGGGTGGGCTAACCTCTAAAGCCATCAACTGTGAACTGTACTTGTCGGATAATGCTAGTTTAACTGCTCGTGTTTTCAGCACAGGAAAATGAATGAAGTTTTGCTCATTCAGCTGCATATACGTGAGTATGTGACTTAAGCATGTTGGGCCTCATGAAAACCTTTGGCAAGCAGCATGTGGCCCGCTGGCTGCAGTTTGCCCACCCTTGTCCTACAAGGTACTAAGTAGTCCCAGATATTTTTAATACTGCACACACTGAGTGTTAACCCCTTCACTGTAGCAACCCCAAATCCTGAGGTGTCTCCTGGTGTTGCAAAACTTCCCCCCCAAAAAAACAAAAATATTTTTTCTCATAAAACAATTGAGAATCTTTTCCCGAGTGTAATGACACCAAAAGAACGAAATTTGATGGAAAACTGATAGAATTACACTCTCATGAAGTTAGCAACCTCAGCGATATTTACGACTCGGCGATTTTGCCCACTTTGAGCCCTATTTTCGGCTAATTCCATTGTTCCGGTCGGCCAAACTCATAGCTATTTCTTTATAACTCCATTTTTTCTATCGATTGAGTACAAGAAACTGCCCATTTACCGATTTCAACTACCCAATAAGGTGGTCAGAAATTTGCAATTTGGCCAATTTCATAAAAATTAAAAAATATGACAATGTCAAAATAGGGTCCAGAATGAACAATGCAGATATTCCTGGCTCTAAAATAACATTTTCTATGTTCATCAGTCATGTCTCCAGGCCCCTCTGATATTACTCTTGCTTTCTGTTCTGAATTTTTATTCTAACAAAAAATAGAAGATTTACTGTTATGCAGACTACTGCAATATTGTAATAATTGTATAAATAATGTCAACCCATTCATGACTGCATATTAGAATGGCTACTTGGACATTTATTGGAAAATGGCATCATTGTTTACTTTTGAATATTGGCAAAAATCAAACATTTCCCCTTCTTTGAGTTCCATTTCAAGGTTCTTTTCAATTTCAATATTCAAATTCACCTGTTTCTATAATATGTTTTATACTCTATCAAATGAGACCAAGAAAATGAGAACACAACCATAAATACTATACGAAAATAGACCACAAATTCGGCATTTTAATAAAAATAACGGTCTGAGTTTTTTTTCTCATGCACTGCGTGCTGCAGTATTTTTTTTATATGGTGCACACTGACCACACAGACCCATTCTCTCACATGTGGGCCTACCAGTTTTCTCCTGCTTGATTTGAAACCGCTAGAATTTATGAGTATATATACGACAAAAACGGTGGCTCGTAAGATATATATATACGACTGAAACAGTCAAGGGGTTAAGACCCATTCTGTACTTCCTACACCTATCAGGCCTCTGCCGACATATTTGAAGGCAGGAAAGAAAAAATGTTGATCAACATTTGAAGCGCTAGGAATAAGAACATAGATCTACATTTGGACAGTTAAAGGGTTAATTTATTGCCTCCTGTATTTAATAATGTTACATTTTCTTTCATACAAGTTTTCCCACATTTCTCAATGCTATTTTCCCCATGATTGTTATATTTTCATTCATCCCAAACAGATGGTAATGCTATTAGGATGGGGTTCAAAGGCAATGCCTCAAGACAGCATAATGGGAAGGAACATGGTAGCTCGTGTTCTACGCTTCTTGTGTATAAACACACCACACTACAGGGCAGATGTCTTCAAGTATAACCTCGATGTTGTAAGGTTTGTTACCTTTCTCTTTTTAGTGTTTTTGAAGTTAGTATTTTCACTTTAATTAGTACATCACTTCAGCTAATATGTTTAAAAATAAAGTGTCCAAAAATGGCCATAAAATGCACTGAAGTACTTTCCTGTACACCTAATATAATACTGTACACACAATTTACAGAATTATTTTTTTTTTTTTCAACAAGTCGGCCGTCTCCCACAGAGGCAGGGTGACCCAAAAAGAAAGAAAATCCCCAAAAAGAAAATACTTTCATCATCATTCAACACTTTCACCTCACTCACACATAATTACTGTTTTTGCAGAGGTGCCCAGAATACAACAGTATAGAAGTATATGCATATAAAAATACACAATACAGTAAGGCCCCGTTTTACGGTGTTTCGCCTCACAGCGTTCCGCTAATATGGCAATGTCAAATTATGACCAAAATTTGCTATACGGAAAGCGGTCTTTCAAATACGGCGCCCCCTACCCGGTTTGTTTACATTTTCCATGACCACATCTATTATGTCAGGTAACTTTCCAAAATTTCAAGTGTTTTAAAGTTACTGCATATTTTATATGTACTCCGATAATTATACTTATGTGTACCTGTACCTAAATATACTTACACACTGTGCTGGTGTGCAGGTACACATTGAAATCGCTAAATAACAGAAAAAGGCACAATACCGTGGCTGGAACGATACACAAATAACCTGCACATAGAAGAGAGGAGCTTATGACGATGTTTCGGTCCGACTTGGACCATTTACAAAGTCACACTAACGAGAAGTAGAGCAGGAAGGGGTATACATAGGCAGGAAGAGGTAGTGGTGGTGGTGGTAGTAGTATTAGAGGTAGTAGTGGTGGTAGTAAGCTCGTCTCGTAAGCTCCTTTCTTCTATGTGCGAGTTATTTGTGTAAAATCGCTAAGTCTCTCTTTACTCATGACGCCAATACTACGTAATAATAATCACTCTTGGGCACACTAAATGTCTTATTTTACATCAATATAGGCATTTTCATTAATTCATCTATGATATTTTCCTCAAAATTATATATGAAACCCATTACATAGCATATAAAAATGATACATACACTCACAGAATAAAAATTGATGTAAATATAAGATTTGTTTACAAAGCAGCTGTGTAGGTAGTGTCGGAAGAATTACATTTTCTCTAGTCAAACTGGGGGATAACTGTAGAAAAATATTCGTTTCGTATGCCTTTACTCTCTATATAGCAATTCACGACCCTTGTGTTTTTAGTGCTTTTTATTATAATAATAATAAAATTATTATTATCTTCATTCTCTCTAAAAATGGTATGCTGCTGTTTGTTTATTCTGAACTAACTTGTACAACTTGTACACAATGTAAGAGCATTTGTATTGTGAGGTAATTATTATTATAATAAAAAAATATTGAGGTAAATGTTTTACAAACTCTTACAAACGTACGTGAATGAACTAAAAGCAGACACAAATTAATATGCATTTATTTCGCCTGACCAAGTGATCGCCCACTACCTGTTCAGTTTGTGTTCTTACAATGTCTCAACTCTGTATCTCGTTCTCTCGTTTACTCTTTCGTTAACTAGTTGGCTCTCATTGACGATGGCGTCTAAGGTTAGCTGTGATAAAAAGAGAAGTCGTAAGCCTCTTGCATTAAGTGCCAAGTTAGAGGATGATGGTGTGCCATTCTGATTTTATTCCATAAACACCCTGCCACTCACCTCTCACACATTAATATTAATATTTTAAGGTAAGTAATAAGTGTACTCTGTGTGTATCTTACCTTTTATTGTGTTTTTAATGCCTATTTATATTGCTAACTTAAAATAAGTTAGTGTAAATTTGTTGTCTGGCATTTATTGCATATTTTGTGTGTGCTCTGATAGTAATACTTGTGGACCTGTGTGGTAGCCAGGTGGAGGGACAGCATTACATTTTCTTTGTCATTCATTCAACACTGCCACGATAAGCCTGAGTCACCTAGACATGAGCGAATGGGTGTGCGCACTCAGTGTGCACCATATTAAAATAATTGGGGATGCCTGGGTACCATATGCTCTTTTTTCCTATTAAAAAAAATGCACCATATTAAAATAATTGGGGACTCTTGGATACCATATGCTCTTTTTTCCTATTAATTTTTTTTTTTTTCTCAAAAAACTTGGGGCACTACGCGAGTGAACGTATATAAACGTTTGGACTGTTTAGGGGTCAAAACCTGCCAATGTATGCTAAATTTCTAACATAGCCTCAACTCTACTAGACTTTGAAAAAGTGATTAACAACATTCCCATGCACTCAGCCCCAGGCAGAGACTTGCAGAACTCTTTGTTCAAGAGCTCCAAGACTCTCCCTTTTGTGTGCCTTAACCTGTAAACGGTAAAAATGTATATATACGTTCACTTCCCCAGTGCTCCAAATATTTTGAAAAATAAAAAAAAAAAATTTTTCTTAATGAAAATAAACAGCACATTTTTCTATGAGTTATAGGATGAAAATAAAAAAAATTAGGGTTAGTACTTACGAAATATGAGGCTGCAAAGCTGGCACTTAATTAATGCTCACATGACAGCAACATCGAGTGCTGCCGCTTGCAGAAGTGTTGCTGATATACCATTTTTTCTCGTTTGTATATTATTTTACATAATTTTGTTGAAAATAAGAAAAAGTTTTGGAGTGAGATTAACAAGTTAAGAAAGCCTAGAGAACAAATGGATTTGTCAGTTAAAAATAGGAGAGGAGAGTTATTAAATGGAGAGTTAGAGGTATTGGGAAGATGGAGGGAATATTTTGAGGAATTGTTAAATGTTGATGAAGATAGGGAAGCTGTGATTTCGTGTATAGGACAAGGAGGAATAACATCTTGTAGGAGTGAGGAAGAGCCAGTTGTGAGTGTGGGGGAAGTTCGTGAGGCAGTAGGTAAAATGAAAGGGGGTAAGGCAGCCGGGATTGATGGGATAAAGATAGAAATGTTAAAAGCAGGTGGGGATATAGTTTTGGAGTGGTTGGTGCAATTATTTAATAAATGTATGGAAGAGGGTAAGGTACCTAGGGATTGGCAGAGAGCATGCATAGTTCCTTTGTATAAAGGCAAAAGGGATAAAAGAGAGTGCAAAAATTATAGGGGGATAAGTCTGCTGAGTATACCTGGTAAAGTGTATGGTAGAGTTATTATTGAAAGAATTAAGAGTAAGACGGAGAATAGGATAGCAGATGAACAAGGAGGCTTTAGGAAAGGTAGGGGGTGTGTGGACCAGGTGTTTACAGTGAAACATATAAGTGAACAGTATTTAGATAAGGCTAAAGAGGTCTTTATGGCATTTATGGATTTGGGAAAGGCGTATGACAGGGTGGATAGGGGGGCAATGTGGCAGATGTTGCAGGTGTATGGTGTAGGAGGTAGGTTACTGAAAGCAGTGAAGAGTTTTTACGAGGATAGTGAGGCTCAAGTTAGAGTATGTAGGAAAGAGGGAAATTATTTCCCAGTAAAAGTAGGCCTTAGACAAGGATGTGTGATGTCACCGTGGTTGTTTAATATATTTATAGATGGGGTTGTAAGAGAAGTAAATGCGAGGGTCTTGGCAAGAGGTGTGGAGTTAAAAGATAAAGAATCACACACAAAGTGGGAGTTGTCACAGCTGCTCTTTGCTGATGACACTGTGCTCTTGGGAGATTCTGAAGAGAAGTTGCAGAGATTGGTGGATGAATTTGGTAGGGTGTGCAAAAGAAGAAAATTAAAGGTGAGTACAGGAAAGAGTAAGGTTATGAGGATAACAAAAAGATTAGGTGATGAAAGATTGAATATCAGATTGGAGGGAGAGAGTATGGAGGAGGTGAATGTATTCAGATATTTGGGAGTGGACGTGTCAGCGGATGGGTCTGTGAAAGATGAGGTGAATCATAGAATTGATGAGGGGAAAAGAGTGAGTGGTGCACTTAGGAGTCTGTGGAGACAGAACTTTGTCCTTGGAGGCAAAGAGGGGAATGTATGAGAGTATAGTTTTACCAACACTCTTATATGGGTGTGAAGCATGGGTGATGAATGTTGCAGCGAGGAGAAGGCTGGAGGCAGTGGAGATGTCATGTCTGAGGGCAATGTGTGGTGTGAATATAATGCAGAGAATTCGTAGTTTGGAAGTTAGGAGGAGGTGCGGGATTACCAAAACTGTTGTCCAGAGGGCTGAGGAAGGGTTGTTGAGGTGGTTCGGACATGTAGAGAGAATGGAGCGAAACAGAATGACTTCAAGAGTGTATCAGTCTGTAGTGGAAGGAAGGCGAGGTAGGGGTCGGCCTAGAAAAGGTTGGAGAGAGGGGGTAAAGGAGGTTTTGTGTGCGAGGGGCTTGGACTTCCAGCAGGCATGCGTGAGCGTGTTTGATAGGAGTGAATGGAGACAAATGGTTTTTAATACTTGACGTGCTGTTGGAGTGTGAGCAAAGTAACATTTATGAAGGGGTTCAGGGAAACCGGCAGGCCGGACTTGAGTCCTGGAGATGGGAAGTACAGTGCCTGCACTCTGAAGGAGGGGTGTTAATGTTGCAGTTTAAAAACTGTAGTGTAAAGCACCCTTCTGGCAAGACAGTGATGGAGTGAATGATGGTGAAAGTTTTTCTTTTTTGGGCCACCCTGCCTTGGTGGGAATCGGCCAGTGTGATAATAAAAAAAAAAATAATTTTTATGTTCTGATAATTACAATTTGTTGTAGTTCTTGTCATTTCATAATCAATCTTTGTTCTGACACTAATATTAGGTACTGAAATTGTACTCAAATTGTCACAAACACACTGACAAGTGGACATTTACATCTGCCTTGGTCATTTACTATTGTCTAGGAATATATACAAAGTATTTGTAGGTCCCAGCAATGTTTTGGATACACGGGAGTATAGAAGAAGAAGAAGAAGGAAGAAGTTCCCTTGAAGCAGTGTGTAGACAAGTGTCAGTGACAAGCATCCAGGAGGGTAGTGATAATTTCCTACATTATAAAAATATTTGAAAG